TCCCTTTTTCCTTCACTTCTGTCTGTTTTTTTGGCTGAGTTTGGTGACGGGAATCGTCTTATTCATTGAAGTGCGCCAACCAATTCCTATGACTTTCTCAGAGGACAGACATCTTGGGGATCATTTGGTGCCATAAGCTTTAGATCTCTAGGATACCAGACGAACGAGCATGGAGATTCCGAAACCCGAAAATCTGGCCAAAGTTGGCGAGATAATCTCACACGGACCGGACATTGTTTACGCGCGAAAATTGTGCTTACTACCCGGAAAAGGAAAGAAACCGACTGGCGAGAAGTAGCTCTCTAGTAGTTATCGACAGCGAGACGACACACCGATTCCATCGCTGTTGGCGCTGCCGTGCGGTTTCCTTAGGAGAAAATACCCGTTAAATTCCTAATCCTGCCATGTTGATGCAAGCAGGCCGAGATGGTCACTAAATAGAACCGCACGACCTTACTTAATTTCACCCGATGTAGATCGAATCAACGATATGTCGCCGTCGAGGCATGGATCAAAAGGCTAGATTGTTTGTATAGGTGAGCAATTAGGTAGGCATTTAATTCAAAGTACTATGTCGTTGTCGTCGGCGCAAGGCACCTCAACGTTGGTTGGTATCTCATTTATTTTTCTTTTCAACCGTCAAATTTTGTGAAAGAATCGTTGCCAAACTGCCTATAAAGCTTAAGAATGCGCGATTTAATATTTAAATATTCTATTTTGACTAATACTATGTGGTTGTCGTCGGCGCAAGGCACCTCAACGTTGGTTGGTATCTCATTTATTTTTTGTATAGGTGAGGCTTGAAAAGATTGTTCAGACAGCATGTGAGATGTTGTAATACCACTCGCTGCCTTTAAACTATTTGATGAAAACCCGATTTAATATTTAAATATTTTAGGATTAATACCACGAAAAATCTCAAACTGGTACATTTATGACAAATTTACCTCGATCTAATTTTTTAACCACGAAAAATCCCAAATCAGTACACCTGTGATAAATTTACCCTCCGTCGTCGGTTTCCGTTAAATTTTACCGTCAAATTGCTGAGTTGAATGACACGCAGCAGTTGACGGACGTACTAGCTCCGGGTTTTATCCCTCCGTTTATCACGGGTTTATCAATTTGTGATTTTTCATGGTGTTAATCCAATTAAATCTATCACATGTGTACCGGTTCGGGATTTTTCGTGGTATTAACGCAATATTTTAAAATATATTCTCAATCTAATATAAAAAAAGAAAAAGAAGAAAGAAAGAAGCCTAGATAAGACACTACCGAACGACGTCAACGTGTTCGTGGCATCGAATCCCCCCGACTTTCCTGGCCGAATTGCTTGCTCGCCAAACAAAAACGAGGAACGTCATGGGTGTGCTCACCGAAAAGAACGCAAATATTTTTAAACTCCGTTTTCTCGTTTCCTGGGATTTTCCATCTGGAAAACGAAAAGTCCCACCAACTGGGCTGTACCTTCTAGAGCGAGCGAGAGAGAGAGAGGGGGCCTCCTCGTCCTCCTCGGTTTCCACATGTTTGGACGCCGAGAAAACTTCGTCCCGTTCGTGTTGGACTTTTCCTAGGGAAAAAGGAGAAACGGGTTCTTCTTTTCTGTTCTTCTTTACCTTCCCGGAAAGAATCCCTCGTCCTCGTTCTCCATCGGCCTTTTGAGCAGCAGCAGCCTAGAAGGTCTTTCCTTTGAAAAGGGGGAGCCTCCTTCGTGACGCTCGTGCCAATAATGTGGAAGCCTCTCTCTCTCTCTCTCTCTCTCTCTCTCTTTCTGTCTTCCTCGTAACTTTCTTTACCCGTTTCTCTTTTCCACGGTGGCTGCCAAATGATTTGAGGAAAAATTCACACGCGCGTGTGCCCCGCCCCCGCTCTAATAATCCGTGGGATTGTCAATTTTTGTGAACTGACATGTGGCGGTGCCCGGGGCTTCGAATCGACTCTGTTCTAGATAAGCGTCGGGGCCCGTGCACGAGCGATGCGGGAGATATCGCTTTCGAACCCATAAATCGATAATTGGCTCGTCGCAGATCACCCTATAACTAAGGGTGTGCAAAACGGATTGCCCGAACCGGATGGTTTGGTGTAGTTCCCGAGAGTATCGGTCCGGTTCTCGATTCCTAAAAGTGGAACCGGTGTTTGGGCGGTCTAGTTCCCAATTTTATAGGGAATCGGATCGGACCGAATACATATACTTTTTTATTTTTTTATTTTTTCAAAAAAATTAGCAAAACGTGAACTAAACCTATGTACAATGCTTTTCCCTTTTTGTCGCACCATAATAACCCTTCACTCATCATCGCTTTCATCAATGCGTTAAGATTTGTCACTCTCTCTCGTTCTGGTGGGAAAAAATAAAAAGGTGATCGGTTACATTGGACCAGTCCGATCCCTAGTTCTCAAACTTTGGAACTGGCCCTTCCGGTCCGGGAACCGATCATCCCTATCTATAATGTCGACGGCCGTGAATATATGTAAACAAAAAAAAGGAGGGAAAATTCCAAATAAGAACCCAAAGTTGAGCTATTTTCTCAAATAAAGATTCGAAATGGACATTAATTCAAATAAGGACCCGAAGTGAATAGATCAATATCAAATAAGGACCTTAGCTCGCCGGCTCGCAAGTGACATTTTTGGTGGTTAAGACATTGATGGATTTTTCAATATTTCCAGGTTCATATCCTATCTCCAACATATCTATTATTTTTAAAAAAAATGAAAAAAAAAGCTAAAAACGATTAACGGTTCTACTCAAGAACCGGCTTTATAATCGTCCTTCATGGTACAAAATCGGGGACCATACCGGTTAAAGATCGGATCTTTGGTCTTTTATCCAAAACCTATCCGGTCCCCGCGGGAACCGGCCCGGAGCCGATCGACAAGGCCGGATCTATTCGGGTGACTTACGCCTGCATCCGCTTACACCAATTGATCGACGAGCCAATCCTTAATGTTGATAAATCCAAAATCCCGGGCGAAAAGCAGACCGGAAAATGAGGAGGAGGGGAACGTGAATGTGGCCTCCCCCAGCTACATGGCGAATCGAAAGAAAAAGACTGACCTTAGCATTGTCACTACACAACGTGTGAACACACGTACTCGTACGCTGCGAGTGCACGTAACGTGCGGATCAAGCTCCGATGCACATAACATCACAGTCACTTCAACTCTACAAGGAGATGCGTTCGGATTCGTTTGTCCTCTGTCTCTCTCCCTCTCTCTCTCCCGGCAACATTCATTCTAGAATATGTCGTGCTCTCTACTTTCCCTCCTCCTCTTTTTGTGACATCCATAATTCCATCAACACTAAAATGACCGCGCATATCCCTCTCTCGTTCCTTAACGGGAACACTTCGAAAATTAATATCTATCTCTAGGCTACGGATCCATCCGAGCCCAATTGATATGAAATGTTTGATCAGCTGCGCTGCACCTCGGCATCCCCGAGCTCTCGGAAAATCACGTGCGGCCAAGTCCTTTTGTCGGTGGTTCGAGGGCCGAAGGTGGAGACAAAATGGCGAGTACTCCGAATACATCGGAACTGCAAAACTTCCCAACCATAGAAGAAAGCATCATTATTGTTAGCCCGATGTACACATGAATTCGTACAGCCCCCCAACGTCCTCAGGAACGACAAGTCGAAATCTAAATTGCACACCCTTTGCTCGAAAGTTTTGGCATTATTATTAGAGATAATCGGGAGACTCTTACTTCTAGCGGTTACCCTCTTTCTCTCGAAAATTCATCGTCTCGATTCCACGATTCTTATTGGCTCATGCCTTGTCACAAGATATCTAAGTCCCGTGAGAACACGATTAAATTCCTCGTAGGGAAAGAGATAGATTAAAAAAAAAGTTAATTACTACATAAAAGTTAAAACTAGGGATTATGGATAGATAAGTTGTTGACCAAAAAGCCTGAACTTTTTTTTGTGACACGAAAAACCCCAAACTATGTCACTTATGACAAATTTACCATGAACTTTTTTTTGTGACACGAAAAACCCCAAACTATACCACTTATGATACATTTACCTCACATTACTTTGGTCCATGGACATTTTCATCTTTTTCCTTTTATTTTTCTTTCTCTCCGGCGAGGGCTGCCCTCGCTAGATCCGACCCTCGCCTGGGCGGGCAAGGGTAGCCCTAGCCCGACACCGGCGAGGCGAGGGCAGCCCTCACCAGATCTGAACCTCGCCGGATTTGGCGAGGGCGTCCTTCACCGGCGTTGGGCGAGGGCTGCCCTTGCCTCGCCGGTGTCAGGCGAGGGTCGCCCACGCCTGGGCGCGGATCTGGCGAGGGTCGTCCTGGCCAGATCCGGCGAGGATCGGATCTGGCGAGGGTCGTCCTGGCCAGATCCGGCGAGGATCGGATCTGGCGAGGGCAGCCCTCGCCGGCTTCCTTTGTCGGAGAGAAGAAAAGAACAAAAAACGAAAAAAAAAAAAAAAAAAGGAAAAAGACGAAGATGCCCATGGGCCAAAGTAATGTGGGGTAAATGTGTCACATATGGTATAGTTTGAGATTTTTTGTGTCACAAAAAAAAGTTCAGGATAAATTTGTCACAAGTGGTATAGTTTAGGATTTTTCGTGTCACAAAAAAAAATTCAGGATAAATTTGTCATAAGTGATATAATTTAGGGTTTTTGATGGTATTTTAAAAAAAAAAAAAAAAAGATAGATAAGTGAATTAAAAAGAATCATTTTTTTTTAAGAGAAAAGGTAGGGCCCGGGCATTTTTACCTTGGCCCCCCGAGAGAGGTGCACTTGCGAGGTACAACTGGGCGCGTGAACATTGAATTTGACATCACTAATGACCTTTTCCACCTTTCACTCGACAATCGACAGCCAGTCCGTCCTTCTAGAAACCTCACGCGCTCACCCCCGCGCGTGTCCCCTCACGCGCACACCTCATTGAAGAAAACCTCCTCCCCCATCTCTCTCTCTCTCTCTCTCTCTCTCTATCTCTTTCTCTCTCTTATAAATATCTCCGTCGCCGCCTTCTCCATCCTTACTATAATCGTCTCTCCAAAGTTCCTCTGCACTTGCAGTTGCAAACGTAACGTAGCGGAAGTCGGAGCATCTTGGATCGGAACGCAGCGCTTTGGACGCGCCGGCGGAAGATGACGTCGAACGAACCGGAAAGCCCCGAGCAGCTCGTGGTGTGCCCCAGCTTCAACAGCTACTCCGCCAATCGGCTCGCCGACGTCGCCCTCGCGGTCGCTCTCGAGGACGAGGACAAGGACGAAGGCCGCGGCGGCTACGGCTTCGGGTCGGAGCCCACTTCTTCGGGTAGTCATCGGAGCGGCCGCTCGGGGGGCGGCGATTATGACGAGGCCCGGGACGACGATTTCGAGTTCGTCCCGCTCGTCAGGGAGCACGACGAGGTCCTGATCAACGGCGGCCAGATCGGTCCCGTCTTCCCGGTGTTCAACCGAGATCTTCTGTACGTGCACGGCGATCGGACTTCGGATGGCGAAGCGAAGGAGGATCGGGAGATTCCGTTGGAGGACTTGTTCGCCGGAGATCGCGACCGCGATCGCGCGGTGTCTTCGATAAGGATTCCGCTGAAGGACCTGTTCGTCGGAGATCGCGACCCTCCGTCGTCGTCGTCGTCGTCGTCGGAGGCCGACGAGCTGGAAGGGATACCGGAGGGCAGCTACTGCGTGTGGACTCCGAAGCCGCCGGCGGGGTCGCCTAGCGGGTGCAAGAAGAGCAGCTCGACGGGGTCGTGCTCGAAGCGGTGGAGGTTCCGCGACCTGCTCCGCCGCAGCAACAGCGACGGGAAGGATTCGTTCGTGTTCTTGACGCCGAGCTCGAGGTCGAGCTCCATGTCGTCGAGAAGCAGCGACGCGAAGGCCGGAGGGGGGGAAGCGAAGGAGAAGGCGAGCCCGCCGACCGACCAAGCCGTCGCGGTCGCGGTCGCGGAGAGAAGGAGCAAGGTGAAGGCGTCGTCCGCGTCGGCGGCGGCGGCGGCGGCTGCGGCGTCGGCGCACGAGGTGTTCTACGTGCGGAACAGAGCGCTGAAGGAAGGCGGCAAGCGGAGATCGTATCTGCCGTACCGGCGAGACCTGGTCGGATTCTTCGCCAACGTGAACGGATTGGGGAGGACCTTCCCTCCGTTCTGAGCCTTCCGGCGCAATTTCGGTTTTTTTTTCTTTTTCTTCCTTTTCGATTTATTTATTAAATTAAAATGGATTTGGTTCACCAAATGAGGCCTTTTCAGTTAGGATCTTATGTACATAACATGAAGTTTTGTCTGTTTTAGACTATTGGAAATGTATAAATAAAGAGTTGAAATATATGTCTATATATAATTTTTTTTTGTCCGATTGCTGCGAAAATTAGGGGCTAAGATTCTGGTTTAAACCTAAAACAGATATGTTTTCATCAAATTATTAATTTTTTTTAATAATGAGACAAACTTGTAATCAAAGCAAATGGGTACGAAATAGATCGCAAGGCGGGACGGGAGGGACAGATCAAATCCGAGAGGATGTTAATGAGAGCGAAATTTGTCGGCCTTAAATACGCTCGAGACAAGGCAGGGGGGGAATGCGCACCGCGCACCTAATTTGATGGTGATTTTTATGGGTGGGGTGGTGGGTGGGTCCCGCGGCAACACGCAAAGCGAGACTGCTCCGGATAACAACTGCGAAGGGAGCACGCATTTCCACACGGATCGGTCCGAATGCGCTGTAGAAATTCTGGTCGCGGCTCTCACATCAATCGAACGTTAATACTCGGTGCACTTTGAGGGGGTGGGGGGACAAATTCGTTTTCACGATTCTAGGTGTGGGCTATCCCCACTCGCGCCTCAGCTTAATCCCCGAAAGCATGACAAATTTTAAATTCAGTTTCAATTCCGTCGCGAGCGCAGTCCAAATTTACCCGAACTCTTTTTTGTCTAAAGAAAAAAAAGACCCTCGAATAAGAGTTTGTATCAAATGAACCTCGAACTTTAACTCTAATTCCGTGCCCTCCCTTAGCTCTTTGTTTGAAAAGTCACCGTTAGTTGTCCCCAATTCCCTATTTCCATTTTAAAGAAAGGTCTCGTTTTGTCGATAATTTTCCCACGTCCCTTTGCTTTATGTAAATTTGTTATCGACGTGGAAATGTCACGTTAAACAAGACGGAGGGATAATGGAGTTAGATTCGAGACTAGATTGAAAATTGGTAATCTCTTTTTGGACAGAAAAAGTTCGGGTCGGATTTGGGACTAGGGTTAAAGTTAGTGATTGACAAAAAAAAGTCTAGGACATATTTGGGATTGAACCTAAAGTTAGTTATTTATTTTTAGATAAAAAAAAGTTTGAGTAGATTTGAAACCTAAAGTTTGGGGCTTTTAAGACAAAAACAATTCGAGACAGAATTGAGACTGGATCTAAAGTTGATATGGATAGGGTTATAATCACGTGCCAAGGCAAAAACGACTTGATCAGACTCGTTTTCTCTTTGGTCAATAGGCATATGGCTTTACTGGTAAAAAGATTGGGGGGTGGGAACGCTAATATCACAACAGCTGCGGGGTTTGATTCCCGCGCTCTGCATAAGGCAGATTAAAAGTAAGAAAAAAAGATAAGAGTTAGAGATAAGACAGATAAAAAAAGAACTTATTTTCTTTCATGTTATTTTTTTTCCCTTTTTTGTGTAGACGTGGATTGAGTTAAAATCACAATCTTGCTATATTAACCACGAGAGCATAATTGGCAACCCAACCGGTGCCTACATACACACGTTGTAGAGCATATGGCACAGCCTCCGTTTTTGCAAGACCAATTCAAGGATTCAATCAGTGCTAACACGACGGCGAATTGAATAACCGAGGCCGCTGCTCTAGCCGAACCATCGAGAATGGCCCGAAGTTCATTTCTCACCTAATCTCGGAGTCGAACAAAAACCCTAGCGGCCTCACGGACGGAGGACTGTTCACCCCGCGCCCCCTCTTATTGCGAATGGGAACTTTCCGTAGTTTCATGTCGCGGATAAAAACACAAGAAAGCAAAAACAGAGAAATCCACATTAGCTTTTCGGATGATCATTCACTGTGATTCACATATCCTCGTCATGCATCAGCATTAAATTAGACATGCACCCCCCTTGAAAGTCAAAATGGCCGTCGAACAGAGCGGGGCACGAGGTTCGTGTTTCGATTGGAGCAAAATAAACAAAAGAAGGTGCAATTTGGGTTTGGGTGGCGAGGGTCCTGAGATCATATTCCCCTCGTTCCAACTTCTTTCCAACAAACCCAAACCTTCTCTCAGCTTCCCCCGACCAAAACAAGATTCCCAATGATTCGAAAGGCGATAAGAGTCGCCCAGGAGTTAAAGTTGCATCGGTCCCGATGGCGTATTCGATGGTCAAATTCTGATGCTGCGATGCCTCCGGGATTTTGCACGAATCGTTGGATGGTCGCTGACTGATTGGGCTCGTCTTTCTCGCGGCCCACTTTGCCTTGAGTTTCTTCCAACTCGAAAGCCTCTTGGAGGCACTCAACCCCCTTTAGCGAGAGCGATGTGTGGGCCTTAATAAGAGACCCGTTCGGGAGAAATCGTCCAATCAGTCCTAAATATATTGTATGGATGTCACTTTATTGCATATTGAGTCAAAGTTCAGGGACCAATTATATCATTTCTCCGTATTTTCATTAGGGTTCATATCACGAAATGCCCCAAACTGGTACACTTGTGACAATTTTACCCCCAATTAATTTTTTGACAACCAAAAATCCCAAACTGTCGACAAATTTACCTCGAATTATTTTTTTGATCACCAAAAACCTTAAACCGGTACACCTATGATAATTTTGACTCGAACTAATTTTTTGATTACCATAAATCTTAAACTGATACACCCGTGATAAATTTACAAAAAAACTAATTTTTTTACCACAAAAATCCCGAATTGGTACATTTGTGACAAATTTACCCTTCGTTAAATTGGATTAATATCACGAAAAATCACAAATTGGTAAATTTGTGACAAATAGAGGGCTAAAACCCCAAACTGGTACACTCGTCAATTGCTACGTGTCATCAAACTTGGCAATTTGACAGTAAAATTTAACGTAAACTAACGGAGGGTAAATTTGTCACAGGTGTACCAGTTTGAGATTTTTGTTGATCAAAAAATTAGTTTGGGGTAAATTTGTCACATGTGTACCGGTTTAGGGTTTTTGGTGGTCAAAAAATTAGTTCGGGGCAAAATTATCACAGGTGTATCAGTTTGAGATTTTTTGTAGTTAAAAAAATAATTTATAATAAATTTATCACAAATATACTAATTTAAAATTTTTCGTGAAATTAACCTTTTTCCTTACATATCAATCACTCTCGATGCTGCACGATGGTTAGCTCTTCTCGATTATGGGCCAGAGATGCCGGACGAAACATGTAAGTGAGTCCCATCGAAAATTTTGGCAGAGTACGGATGCGCTGGGGATCGAGAAATTCAATTGATTGTTCCTCCTTTCAACGTGTGTAGAGAAAGTACACTGCACATGCGTGATGTTATGTGCATCCGAAGTTGCTTGAAGAAACAGGAGCGACAACTAGAAAGGGGATCGAGAAATTTAATTTTCGATTGGATCACGACGGGGATCCGAGTAACGAGGATCCTGCTTCTTAAAATAGAAGGAGACTAAACTTAGCAAATCATGTATTTAATAAGAATAATTTTTAAAGTCTAATTGACAATGTTAGTGTGCGAACATACAATTGAGATACATAATTAAATAAATTATCAGGGATTAACCTCTCGTGCTACCCGGGTTCGGAAAATGTGTTCTTGCTTGGGCTTGACTTGATTGACAGTTAGAGCCGTTAAAACTGGACTTGTCAAAATGGATTATGAATTCATTTCTTAACCCGTATTTGATGGGCCTAGTTTATATGGATTAGTTATATTCGGTATGTAGGTCAAACGTAGATTTAAAATGGTAAAATCCAAAATAATATAAGTATTAAATGGGTTCACAATTTACTTAGATCAAACTCACCTCTATGACTCTCTCTTTGCTCTCCTTTACTTGATCTCGTGTTCGCTCACTTTGCGATTTCACCTCAGCTTGGCTATGTGTTCTTTTCGATCGGGTTAAATATGAAAGTGATTTAGCAACATCAGTCGAATCTGAATCACTAGATTTGTGTTGTATTGAAATATGTCAAATTGGGACGGATCATTTTTTACCCGACCCGACCCGGCCCGTTGGATGGGGCTCGGTTAAAACTCCGACGTCGATATTGTGCGCTGATTGGTCAGTCGTCTCGCCCTCGAGCAATGCGCCGTTCGTTTAGCACAAGACCGGGACTGATCTGCCCCGCGCGAGATTTTTTTCCTCCAGAAAGCGCGATATCTCCACGTGGCAACTCGTGGCGCGAAAAGGAACCCCCCGACCCCTTTTCTTCTTCAGATCGTCGTCATCCGACGAAGGAAGAAGCTCCGACTCCCCCATGGACACACGCTCCCACACACACTCTCTCTCCTCACGCTCTAGCGATCCCCTCTCCGTCTCTCTCTCTCTATATATACACACAAGCACACGGAGCGATACCAGATGAACGCCACTTCGTCACCGCGCTCCGTCGTCTCCCGCTTCCCGCCAAATCCGCCGGCGCCATGGCCTCTCTGCAGCTCGCCGGCTGCGGAGCCCTAGACCGCTTCTCCCGCGCCCCGCTCTGGGGCGGAGCGCGGCGGCGGCGCGGCGGCGGCGGGGGGTTCGGCCGCCGGAGTAAGGCCGGGGCCCGCGGGGTAGCCTGCAGAGCCCTCGCGATGTCGAGCGATCCTGCCTCGCTGAAGATGAACCTCAACGAGTACATGGTCACGCTCGAGAAGCCCCTCGGCATCCGGTTCGCGCTCTCCGCCGACGGCAAAATCTTCGTTCACGCTCTCAAGCGAGGGGTACGTGAATGCACGGCCCTGTGCCGGTACCGGACTATTTGCCTTTTTGAATTTGCCGATTCGTCGTGAGCGTGAATTCAGTTCGTTCAGCTGATGAGATTGTATTGCTAGTGCTCGTCGTGCTTGCGGTTGTCTTTTGATTGTCGAGTATGTCTATTTATAGTTGACATGGCTCGATTCGAATCGCATTGTGAGTGCAGTGAAGTGCGGCTCTCGGAATGTGTTGGTCACGTAGGTTTTTGCCGCAAATGATTGCAGGGTAATGCGGAGAAGTCCAGGATTATAATGGTGGGCGACACTTTGAAAAAATCGAGCGATCCGTCTGGTGGCAAGCTTGTTGAGATTAAGGACTTTGGTGATGCAGAGTAAGAGACTTCGTCCTTTGGTGTTTTAAGAGTTGCTTTTG